CGGAGAAATAGATCCTCCTGTTACACTATATATTCTGCCTCTGCGTGATGAGACACAGGGCAGCGGCACTGAAAAGCTCTGACATGGGGTCAGCTACACCCAGGAACACAAAGCCCCATGTGAAAAAGCTGGTTTTAAAAAAAAATAATAGTGTATATAGTCACTGAAAGGATGCATCTGAATTCCTGTTTGGAATACTGTTTTGAAACTACAATCTCGACACTAACTACGGAGATCCAAACCTGGGGAGGAATTGCCTTATACTTAAGAGTTGGGATTTAGAATCTGTTTCAAGGATTGACACAAAATTAGCCTGAGTGGCTTACACAGCACCTGTTGTGCATTCATCTTTTCACAAACCAACACAAACAGGATTCCTCAGTGTTTAAAGGCAAATTTTAGTCTACAACTACAGCTGCAAATTTTTTAGTGGGGGTTAAGCAACTGCATCCTGTAAGTTGTGGAAAAGTTTGTCTGAGGCAGTTTAAATGCCCTTTACATATCTATATGAAGTGTGTAGATTTTGTATGATTTCTGTTAAATTCATGCACAGCAACTCATCAAGCATCTTATGAAGACAACCCATTAGAAATCATGAAATCCACTGAACCCATGAAAACATCCATTGTTTTTCATTCTCACTAATGTCAAAATACTTACTCAGTAAGTATAGCTACTTCCACATCTCATATATATTTAGATTTTTGCCATTACAGAAATTACATGTGATGTTGTTCAGATTTTCATTTCACATCCTAAAGTAGGCAGTAAAACTACATAACAATGCTACTGAAAGGCATTGGAAAAAGCCGTAAATTCAGTACTCCAAAAATACCGTAATGCCATTATTGCCACTAATGCATATCACCTACTGATTGGGAATTACAGCTTTAAGTTTATATTTATGTGTATATGCCATCTTTAGTTATAAGGAATCCTCTTTTGGAGGATGAGAGCACTCAGAGGGTATGATATGCATTTAAAAGTCTCTCTTTATAAGCTGCAAGAGCTAATGTACCATGTTTATACCAAGCAAAGTCAGGGGTGTATTTCATGCTATTGCGTAATACCACTACTAAATGCTGCTGCTGCTTAACCACATTTTTTTACACTTCTCCCTCAAATCTGAAAACAAAGTCAAGCAGGACATGCAGAATACAAAACTGCAATTGTGTTTATATTAAAATTAATTTAAAGCTCCTACCACATCTCAGGTCAGATGCACATATGATCACAAACCTGAATTATCAAATCCAGTGTCCAAATGTACAAACCAGAAGAGCCTGGTCCGTTTAGCAAAAACCACAGGATCCTGCTTCTCTTGATCTCCTGTAGAGTTACTGCACTGAGGGTAACACCCCTTAACCCTTATTAAGTGCCAGAGAAAACACCAAGTGGCTTGATTAAGCCTGCTGTCTCAGAACACTGAAAATACTCTACTGGAAATGTAATAATCTTGCACAAAACCTAAACCGGAATTACCAAATTACATATGGCTTCCTGTTACTGTATTAGAGAAATGGCACCTTCTTTTTTTTTTCAACAGCTCTTTCGAAGTATGATACAGGTTGTACCAGTAAATTTAATGTTTGATGTGAAAGTAGATGACTAATACAGAGAATCCAATGCCAACATATAGCTAGCATAAAAAAAATTAAAAACACCTCTAAGTTTTCTTTGCACTCCATTGAAACTTACTTACTCGCTTTTCCTCTTTTGCCATAGTGGCCAAAATACGTAAGGTAGGTTGCACAGTCAAATAATGCAACTTTCCCGTGCATCGTAAGAAATGTCTGGGAAGAAGTCCAATATTGAGTCCCTTCCCATTTCAAAATAACTGGATATTTTACATACATTTTAAAGTGTTCTTATTTACATTATTAATCCTGAAAGCTACTCCTTTCACAGTGAAGTTGCAAACTGCATCTGTGTCACACAATCTCCCAGATGCTGCTTAAGCTCCCAGTATTGGCAAACACTTTCTAGTAAGATTATTCAGATTAAGGGATCGCTCCTTTTTGGCTTTTCTGAATGTACAGCACAGTTGACTTAGAAGGGATCCTTTATTAGGGTCAAACAGAAAGTTAACTGGGAACAGTGAAAACCTGATTGTTCTCATCTGTACTATTTTTATTTTTTTGAAAGACTGCTCATGGCTACAAACTATTCAGTTACCTTAGGAGCTGTAAATTTTTTAAAATTTTAAGAGCACAAACAGAGGCACCTCTGTTTTCAAACTCACAAACAGCACCCAAGGGCTCTGAATTCAAAGTTATTCTTGGTGAGTACATTCCATAATACAGAGATGTGGAGGCCAAACTTGTTTTTTATTGGCAACACTTTTAAGGCTGAAATTTGTGACAACGTTGCAAGAGGTGTGGGGCAAGAGAGACTCCTAATGCAAAGAAACATGTATATGTTACCCATTCAGGAAACATGGTTGCTGTGTTGTACTCCTATTAGGCTTTAAGGTTAATGTTGTTGGGGTTTTCTTTTGGGTTTTTGGTTTTGGTTTTGGTTATTTCCCCATGTACTTAGAGCAGATATAAAGATAGCTGAGTGGCCTTCTAAAGGTATTAATGAAATGTGCAGTTATAAAATGCCACCTGAGTAGCCCATTCTAGAAGGATAAACCAGGTTTTTCTTTCTCCAAAACATTGCCTGAATTCATTCAAATTTAATTTGCAGTACTTATAGGTATCGGTTATTACTCTTCTGAGGGAAATTATTTTTGGAAATCATGAATCTGAGCAATCTCAGAAAAAAAATGGATTTCATCCTCCTGTTAAAAAACTGAAAGAACCAGCTACGGGTAGAAGAGTAACATTAAAGGAAAACATGTAATTAACTGCTACAAATTGAGAATAATATGGAAGTTTCTGACTGCAGATGAATGCTGATGATACTATGAAGGGAAAGCATATTATTTGTAACACTTGGAAAATCACATTATAAAACTCATACAGAACTGTTGTTAAAAATAGCTTCAGACTTGGTACTACCCAGTCAGCTTCAAAAGGGGTCCCAGTCAAAAACTGTGCTGACATTTGGCACCACAGACAGAAGAATGTATATACTACATGATAACCTTTTCAATAAGCCAAATTATTAGCTCCTGATAAGTAATCAGAACACTAAATTCCGGAAACTCAACCGCATCTGGACTGCAAAAACTTATTATGCCACCTTTTTGGGGATAATTGCCTGGTGGCAAGTCATAGCCCACTGCGGAGCTGCAGGTATATGCAATCAAATTTTATCTTGAAGTCTTCTGCTTCACCTACTGCAATAGTTTTGAAGATACATAGTGACAAAGTCGAAACTGCTGCGGAAGTGTAAGCAGGACTGACTCCCTGACACTACGGAAATTTCACAGACCCTATAAAATTCAGAAGTTCCTGGTTTTTAAAGAGTAAATCTCTGCGTATCATCAGCATGCAAAAAAATTGACACCAATAAAAAACATCTGAACTTTGCTGCATTGCTTCATTTTTTTTCCTAAGGAAATTAATCTTATAAACAATATATCTGAATTTCATTTCTCGTCAGAATCATGTAACTTAAAAGGACGCTCAAGAAGATGATACCTCTGACTCTCGTTTCAGATGATCCAACATAATATAAATCCATTTTGTTCATGTAAGATCACAAGATCTGACTCGACTCAAAACTTCCATGTAGTGGCTTTGAGCAGTAACAGCAGATGGTTTCGTGGGACCTTTGATTCCATTCTTAGAACAAGTAAATCTCTGCGCAGCCATTTTCAGCAATAGTAGCTGGAGGTAGCTGGGGTCATTCCACAAACTACTGATGTCACGAGATCTCACTTGAAATGCAAAAAGACTTTTGAAAGTCTGCACTAAATATACGAACTATCACCAAAGCACTGATGAGTCAGGAGTCCCTTTCCAAAAAAGAAGGCCAAGCTTTTTCCCTGGCAAGCTGATCAACGTTGTTCTGTATGTGACGAACGCAAAGCCTATTTTAAATAACTGTTCACGCTGTTCTGCAGTCAAATGTTCATTGGATTTGGGCTACAAAGGAAGTACTTATGTGAGCTACTGTCTCACTGTGGCTTTCCATTTCATCTTTAGAAACCGATGAAAATTTTTAGTATCCACACGAAGCTTATAACATCACTGTATTCTCAGGGAATTCATTACGTGAAGAGAACCGTTGCAGCTCTGTTATTTTCATTCTCTGCTACCCTCTCTGTTCCCCACGGCACATACTTCTGACCTGCTGTGTCAAACACAAATCCTTGTGCCTCTATATTTGCAAGGGTGGGCAGATGTCTGTAAGTGGGTCAGTCACATGTAACAGTTCCTTTTTAAGCCTTGTCACGCTGCATCCAGACAGCAGTGACTACACCGAATTTTTGATGCTATTTTGACTGCAACAGACACATTGTGTTCTAAGTACCAGTCAAGGTGTTCACTCATCACAATGTGTTATTTTCGTTATTTATTTTACATTTGCTTACTGGACTTCTGTCTTGCTCAGGAATAGGAAAAAGTACCATCGCTCTCATTTGATTCCCTCATTCTAAACACTGCCCTTGCAGTTCATGGGCTTTGTGTAGTCTTTGGGAACTCAGAAATGACCCATTCCAAAAAAAATGTCTCAACATAATTTTAAATTTTCTCCATTTCTAAAATTATCTCTGGTTTCTAAAATTACATTCTACAATCCTACTTATGAAAGAAGGAAAATTACAAGGTTTCTGTTACCAGAACTTTCCAGTAAGAGATTTAATTCCATGCTGGGCTATAACATGAAAAACACGTGTATATGCAGAACCTATGTCCACATACAAACTTTGTACTTGCAACTGTACTAAAAAAATCCTTCCTTCGCAGCACGGACAACCTCAGGTTGCAATCTCTGTAGCTTTCCAAGGCATTTTTCTCTTCGTTCCTGGTTGAAATGGCTCTTCATTCAGTCGCCGATGGTCTTTCCTTCCTAGCTGACCTGGCGGTAATGCCTGTTCTGCTTTCCAGGATATACACGCCAGGGCCAGCCACCACGTAGGGTCCTACCCCCAGAGATCTCAGCATGGCCGGCCTGGTGACGACAACCCCGTAGTCCACTTCTTCAAGAACATTGTAAGTCTCCTCTCTTCTCTTTAGGCACTAACTAAACTATTTTCTTTAGGATCCATCAGTAACCAAATACCCCCCCATCATTAGCCATTACTTTGAGCCTCATGAACTGTACCGCGTCTTTGAGCTTATCATGCCATTCAATTACTAAAAGAATTTTTACCTAGAAACACAAACAATACTGAAATGCTACCAAAAAATGTTCATGAACCCTCCATTAGAACAGTCAAATTCCACAACAGGAGACAGGAGGACCAAACCTGTACATGGTAAAGCTGTGTAATCGTCCTGTCTTTAGCATTGGCTGTATTAAGGAATGCTTTCTGTTTAAGAAGAGACAAAAATCCAGCATGTTCTAGGCAAAGCTTAAGAGAGCAGAGGAGCTTCTCAGTGCAATTAGTTAGATAGCACCTAATCCTACTAACTCATAGATAATATGCAAAAGGCTTTACGATTTCCTACATTTACTCTTGCCTTGGTTTTACAACTTTTTTGTGTTGGTTTGTAGGTCTCACCTCGTACACCTCCCCCAATGCAAGCAAAGGTAAGTGTTTTCAGGGACTCAAGTAATGTCCAAGATACCTTGTGGGCTAATTTATAGCAATTAAACTGCTAACCTGATTAATTTTCTTTAATAGCACTAAGTAAAAACCTGGAGTTATGATTGGGGATATTTGAAGCAATGAACCAAGACAGAAAAGCCACGCTTCTCTTCCTCATGCACTTCCTAACTTGCTGCACAAACAACTAAAGCCACTAGCAGTGGTTTTTATACCCAATTTGTGCTGTGATTGCTTTAGGTAATAAACTAATAATAGGCAATGCTTTCAAATAAGTCTCTTTCACCAAGAAGTGTCCTTATATTTACTAACTCAGCTGGCTACTAAAGCACATAACACCGACAAACCACAGCTAGCGAAGGTGGTTCTTGTAATTATAAATAAAGAATTTTTGCCTTTTTTGTTTTACGTAATGACTGTACAGATTGTTGTTTTCATCTCCTGCCTTATTACCTGGCCAGTATTTAATTATTTTTTTACTGCATTTTCATCATCTTCTGTGTATGGTACACCCAGACGCTATGTTCCATAGTGACCATCACTTCATTGTTTCTATTTCTTGCATGTACAGGGAAGAGGATTATCCCTCACCAGATTTAGCTGGGTAGGTGACAAATGTTCTTTCAGTAACAGCCATTTTATTTACCAGGCCAAAGTCTATCGCGCTCCATCGCCTCAAACTATTGCAGCAACGTGATAATTTTGTCTCAATTTTGCTGTTTTGCTTTTCCTCTTCTACTTTCCTCCCTCCTCCTACAGCACTTTAAGACAGTAATTTTGTTGCTTGCTCTTATCCAGCAACCTGACAGTTTTGCAGCGATAATTTCTTTTGCTTTAGCAGGAAGGGAGCAAAACCCACCGCATGGCAAAGCTCTCTTCCCGTAAAGACTCCTGGAGGAATCAGCTGCTGTTATTTTCTTTCCCTGGGAAAGAGAAAAATGGGAGGGAGGGCTGGGACGAGATGGGCGCTTATTCCACAGTTCCAATTGCTCTTATAAAGTCTGCAAAACTAACACTGTCACTAATTCAAGCATTTTGTCCCACCTTCCCCTGCAACCCCTTTCGGTAAGACAGGATCTGCCTAAAGTTAGACAAGTTCTTCCCACAGTAATCCTGCAACTGATTAAACTCTACTTCTCTACCACAGGATCGATTTTATATGAGATAGGCATGTAAATTACTCGTATTTTCAAATAGAAAATACTAAAGCCTTCGAGCCACTAAGCATTTCTTTCACTGACAGAAGAACACAAATTAATTGACATGTCTGACATCTTAGAACTCACGAAATTGAAGCATTTTAAGTTTTGTCATGCAGGTTAACCTTCTGAGTGTCCATTTTTTCACTATTGTCTTTTACAGTTTGGTGCTTCCCTCAGAGTTGAGTATATTCAGATAATTTCCTCATATTTTCCTTCATCCTTGTTTATTAAGTAAATGATTATTTCACTCCCAACACTTCTAAATTTCTCCTTTGAGTATTACATTTCAGTGATCACAAACAAAGATTACAATGTGCATATGATAATCTGGATGCAATAATTTGCAATATATATGAAAATTTTTTTTTTGCAGGGTGGTGAAGGACACAAACCAGGATACGGAGGAAGCGGAAAATTCTATGAGCATAAATCTGCTCACAAGGGACATAAGGGATCCTATCATGAGGGCCAGGGCACTATCTTTAAACTGGTAAAGTACAATCAAACTTACTCTACATACAAAAAAAAAAAAAAAAAAAAAAAAAAAGTTGGTGGAAAAAAACGAAGCCAAACCTTCCATGTTTGAAACAACTACATTTCCTTAAAGTTTCTGAAGGAACTAGATTTACACAGATCAAACAGAGCTTATCTCATGACCTAGTAACCACTTACATGGTAGGACACACAAGGTAAAAACATGCAGCCAGTTACCATCAGGAGACAAGGTAAGTCCACTGAGTGTCACGAAGACCCGCACCAGGAGCCGTGTCGCTACCAAACTCCCAAATGACCTGGAACACAGTAGATGAATGAGGTGACACAACTTGCTGCTGCTGCTAAACTATCTAAAACAGCGAAAACAAAAGCAGAGTGAGAAGCTGCAGAGTGGTGGCGCAGGGCCCTGCTGGGCACACACATGTGGTTGAGAGAACAACTGGAGCAGTTTCCGTTTGTTCCCACCCCAGGCGGGAGAACTCCCCAGAACATGTCAGTACAGTGAGCTGTGAACAGTCAGGAAAATCAGAAAACTGTCATATGAAAAATAAACATTTGGTCAGATTGTCTGTAACCTGGTTCAGTTTGAGTCCATTTGGAGTCACGGCAAAGCCCCACTGATGCAGCTAATAAATGAAAACAGAACAGGAACAAAAAGTCAGTCGTGAGGACTTTTCACATTCTACGTGAGGAAAAAGATGGGTGAAACCCACATCATACCCACTGGCAGCCACTTCAGCTAAGCCTGTATTTTTATAAAAGGTAGAAAAGCATTCACTCATAACAAATCACATAATACAGCTATTTGCACATGAAGAATGCAGTCAGTAATGATCTTTAACTTCGGGACAGAATGCTTGAGCTTGCCCTTAGCAGAGCTGATCATCTCAGACTCTTACTGCTCTCCCCTGCAACAGGAGACAGATCAGCACCTTCATCTGTAGCAAAAATACATTTTTGTCTCTTACATGGTTTAGGGTATGTACTGTTCACTGTGGAGCTGCTTTCCTAACACATGCAGCATCAAATCACAGCTTGAAAACTTGAAGGAGGTAGTAAGAATTCCTAGGTTGCAATTTAAGAAAAGGAAGGAGCTCTTCAGAGGCCTGGGTAAAAATCAAACGTTTACCTCTTAAGCCTAATTTTCACACCATCCACCTGTAGCTTTTTAGTGGCATTCACACACATCTACAATACCGTTGCTATATATTGACATTATTTGTGAAGCTTTCTTTGAACATCTTAAAAAAGCCAATAATAATCTCTATCAAAATTTAAAATTATTTTTTTCATGTAACCATCACAGCTATTTTTGCTTGGATTTATATATATAGGATGATATACATGCACCAGTTCTACATTTTGCTAGCCTTTTCCAAGCCATTGCAACTTTTGGAAATTCTATCAAGAAGTTTTATTCATGCCTTTTTGATTTAGACACGCTGGTTATAGCAGGAGGCATTAATAACTATTCCTTTACATAGTTTTCCAGCTTTTTACAATAAAAGGGTTATCTATTCTTTTGGACATTTAGGATAACTCTGGAAGAAAAAAAGCCAGATACCTAATAGATTACACTAAATTCTCCTTGAAACAGTTCAGTCAAACTAAGGAGGGAGCACTGAAAGATGAGAAGAATATAAATAAAGGTAAAAAAAAAATCCCAAAGTATGCACATGCTTAATTTTTTAAAAAACAGTTCAGTCATTGACTGATTACAGTAACAATTACCGCACTATCTCACATTGGTGGACATAAGTGTATTATTCAAGATTTGTCTAGAAAGTTACTAAAACCACAGGAAAAGAAACCCAGCTAGCCTAACTGTAAGTTCCAAAAATGAAATGCCAAAATTTCACCTTGGATCATCTTTTCCCATGTTTGCATCTGAACTTTCCATACAAGACTCATGTCAATACAACCACACATAACAATTTACCCTAATAATTATTACAGAGTAAAAGCTTTACATTTCCTTCTTTAAGATGTGAGACTATTACAACTCTTATGCAAGGTTTGGAGCTTTTAGTTTTAGTGTGTGTTTGTTTTAATGCATACACCCAGTTCAGGAGTAGCCGTAAAAATGAAACTGTCCACAGTGTCTGAGCAAATTAATTGCTTTCATTAGGAAGGCCTGCACGAGAACATGAACCTACAAATAATTCATGAGAGGCTGTCTAGCCCAGTATGAGAGACTGAATGAGAGTACATTAATCCTGTGTGAAAATATACAAAAAGCAATCATCACTTCAAAGTGAAAATTCCAGTAACATCTAGTGATATACTAAAGGGCATTGCAAGCCATTTTCATTACACAGTATTTAAAATTTTGTTATACTACAGACTGATGGTTTTCAATTTATAGTCCCAAATATATACTACCTTTTAATTAACTTAACTCTGTTCTTCTCTGCACAGGGAGGCTCTGGGTCCCGACCTGGATCACGGTCTGGTTCACCAGTTGCTAGGCGCTGAAGCTCTAAGATGCCACCCAAGGATCATGTACTCTGCTTCGTAATATAACTGCCTTAAAATTAGTAACAACTGCAACAATTACCTAGATAGATGCGATTCATTACTTAATGCCAATTAGGTTCTGCATGCAGTAGGTTATACAAACTTCTATTGGCAATCCCTGACCAACAGTTGAATGAAAGGAACACAAAAAGTAGCTTTACTAGAAGTTTTCCTTACTTTATGTGAAGTAACAAGACCTCTGACTTTACTCATTCTTCTTCAGGTTGCCCTAACTGTATGCTGGACTTCATTACTTCCCCCAAGCACCTAACTTGAGCTCAAGTCTTCTGGTTTTGTTTTAGTGAATATCACAATTACAAATAAAGAGCTACTGTCTTGGATACTGAGCACTGCTGTTAATGAATTCCTGAGATACTGCTGTTAAAAAGAAAAAAAAAATCCATCATGTGCAGAAGTTGTAAGGACTGTTTATCCAAATACTTTTTTTGATTTGGTTTTGTTTTGTTTTAATCTTCCTTCTCTCACTCACAGAGTAATTTATTTTCATAACAGGAATAGGCAGTCATGGAAAGGTTTACCAAACATTGGGAGTTCAAGGTATGTGAAGTGTGGGAGGGGGCAGATGTTGTAGAATCAATACGGTGCGGAGCAATAGTAATAAGGAAATTCGTTCCATATCATGAATTGCTCATTGCATCCAAACCATTAGAATTAAGAGTAGATGAGGGAGAGAAAGAGGATTTCAAATTTGAGTTAGGCTAATGTTAAGAAACAAGGGATATTCCCAGGGAAGAAACATCTACAATTGCACGAGTGACCACTGGACGTCACCGGTGCTTCACACAAACTGCTGCAACAGCATTAACTTTGCAGTATGATAAATAAGTAAATAAATACGTTAAAAAGTCTAATTTCTGAAAGAGAGCCCTTCAGTACTGGTATCTCAGATAGTCCTGCACATCTCGCGTTCGAATTTCAAATCTTTCTCTTGGTACTGCAGCAGTGTCATATTTGACCGGTTCGTGTTTTGCCCAGGGAACCTCTGGATGCCTGTTGAGGGCAGTGCACCAAAGCAAACTCATAGTAAACTACTGTGAACATTTAACTGTTGTACTGTAGTTGCCTTATAGAAATAAATTATAGCCGTTAGATTTAGATATTAATTGTTCACAATTTACTAAAATTAATGTGTGGCAATGGTATTTCCGACCACACTTAGGAAAAGAAAAGGCTCTTCTGAATTGCACTGTTTTGTTACTTAAACTTACCAGTTCTTCAAGCTATCGTCTAAGTGTCTGATTAATTTTTTTTTAGTTTTAGCCTATGCATTGCAGACTACAGTTAATGCTTCCCGGGTTGAAACTGCATTCTTAATAAGTGCCCAGTAAAAGTTACCTATAAATATCTATGATAATTGCATTTCACATTTAGATCTATTGTAGGGTTTAAATCAGTGTCCATTAATATAAATCAATGGAAGATGAGAGGATAGAAAATACATAGAGACTAAAGAAAACAAAACCACCAAAGTCATTAAGTATACACACACGTATTACATCTTTTATTACCTAAGTAAGTTGGTTGCTATGTGAATTTTTCTATTGTAGCTTCATTCAGATGTATACTCTGCAACATAATAGTTAATTTGGATACGTATTGTTCTTATAGGAACACAGCTTTTAAAAAATCTTCATTATTGAAATAAAGTAATCAACTTGAAATGAAACTTGACCGGTTTTGTCTTTTACAACAGAGAAGATCATATAGACATGAAGTTCTCTGCTTCCCCTCCCCCAATTTATGGATAATGTTCAAACACTACAAAAATGGCACTTTGAGACCTAGGATCCAGTTGCCTTCACACAGGTTTCTGGTGACACTGCTGGGACTCTGCATGGCCCACAAGGCTGACACCACCACACAGCACTCACGGGAGGCCACTGCCCTTGTGGAGTGGCAGCTAAAGGCCAGGGCGATACTGCAAGGCATAAAATGCCCACGCACAGGCAATGAAATCCCACCCTTTATATCTTCTTTGAACAGGATATGTGAAAATCAAGCTGGTTTGTGAAGCAGGATTCAAAAAAGGGACAGAATATTTAAGGTTAAAAAAAAAGATTTGAGAAATATATCTTTCAAAACACTGCACTGTAGAACTACAGAACTTAGCCAAAGCTTCTTCCTTGCCTTCATCACTCTGTTTTCTCCTCGATCATCTTTTCCAGAGGCTAGAAGTGGCTTTTTTCGATTTACTTTCTATAGAAGAAAATGTACAGTACTTTAAAGCATTATTTCACCAACACAAGTCTCTTGAAAGATATTAACACTTTGACTGAAATTTATTCTTTTAATTACTTGCCAGTAGTTTTGCTGAAAAACAGCAAGCAGTTTACATGGCTATTTAATTTATAAGCAAAGCATTTTTCCCCGGAACAAGATCACACAACCCATTTGTGTGGCATTTCTTGTACTGAATGAATGGACATAAACTGAAAGAAATACTTGAGCAGATACAAGTCAAAAAGCCTGAGGTGCATGTAAGCCTACTGCTGTACCAACCCAGAAAGAACAGGGGTGCTCTGAAGTACTATTCACTTACTCACTAGACAACGTGACCCTTCAATAACGCTTTAGAACAGGAGTTCTTTCCATCCCCTCCCTCCCAAAAATGATGCATCTACTTTGAGATTGCTTTTGAAAATATCAACATATTGGTGGCAGTGTCTGCATTTGTAATGAACAGCAATGGCTGTGCCATTCTGAAAACTTGTGACTCCACCTTGTCCAGGTACCCAGGCTAGGAAAACCTCTGTGTCAGGATACTCAAGAGTCAATTCTTGAAGTTTGTGGAGAAGGAGGATGCAGGGAAGCAAACTGAATACAATGCTACTAAGAAAAAAAGTTTTTTAGAAGTCTGTGTACCATAACTGATAGGATTCCAAGTGCTGGAGGACTAGCAACCTGAATTCAGGAAAAATGTCAGCTCCCTCCATAACTCAGGCTGCTTATTCAAAATTTCCAACACTGGAACACACACTCATTGCCTCTAATCAAGACACAACGCTTTGAGAAGCAACTATTTGAAAACTGTCGCTTTTTAATTTTTTTTTTTAACTCATGAGATCTGCTTTTAGCACATGCTCACCGAGTACTGACAACTAGCAGTTTTTTACTTGGGGCAAAACCATCGTAGCTAGAGCACACTGAATGGTTTCGAGCACTCAGGAATCAGGCTCCCGTTCCGAAGGATGGATTTGCATCTGGACGTGCACAGCTCTAAATCACCTTCTGTCAAACAGGGTTCGGCACCCTCTAGAAAGCGCTGGCTCCTCCGCAGCAAATCAGCTCTGACAAAACTGTGCCGTGCGTTTTCAGGGTACGCTCTGAAAGACCGGGGGAAAGGGTTTGTATGTGGCACACGCAGCACAGCACATCTCACTCTATTTTTAAAGATAAACAGGGCGCTATGCTGGGAGACAGTGTGCCTTCAGACAACTGTAAAACATAACATCTGCCTGAAACAGCCGAAACACGGACAGGCTGGCTGGAAGGAAAGGTGCTGCCGGAACAACGGCACATACCCCCTTTACATACAGTATCGAGACATGCTTCCGGTAAATGGAAGTTTTTTTAGGATTTCCTAGAATCCAGAACCAAATGCTTTAAAAAAATACACGAAACAGAATTTGGAAAAAAAGTAGTATTATTTAACATGTTTTTGAATTAAATATTCCACATAACAAAAGTGTTATTTCCATGTCACCGACTATATTACTTATATACATATGCCAAAGAGTTAACAAAAGAAGAGATGCCCTATCAAAACCAACAGTGATTTCTTGCTTCAGCAATCTGAAATAACTAGTCTGTATCATAGACAAAGTATAGACAATATTTACAGAAAGGGCTTTTTGGATCTAAGAACAATTATCTTTCAGAAGGTAAATTAAAATCCAGCTCTGTATTATAGTACAACAAATCCACCACTGATCCAGAAGTACTTGCGGCAAACCGAAAAGATGAACTTCCTGCAACTGGCATTAGTATTTACAAAATATACTGATCAGCCACACAGAGGCTCATATAACTTTAAATATATATATATATACACATAGAAGCACACATATATATATCTATATATATGTAACATATAAATAAAATTGAAAAGAACAAGGTAAAAATAAAAAAAGAGAGCTTCTGTCTTTGGAATGTCTAAAAGATGACTATGTTTTAACTCCAGTGTTTCTTTGTTATGAACATACTCAACAAGTGGCACCTTTCGAAGTATTACTTAGTCAACTAGGTAGTTTTGCTGAAACAATGTCTTCAAAACAACAAATAAAAATAACACATCTCCAAAATTCACAAAACAAAATAAGGAGGAATTAACAGGTTTGAAATGATAAACGTTTACAGCACTGGGAAATATTGTATAACATAGGTGACCTCATACGTGCCTAACTTTCTCACTGCTAAACACAAACTGCATGTTTACCTCCCAGATTTCATATATGGCTGTGTCTTCCACAGATACAGAGACATGTACCTGCTGATGCAATACAGCAAACATTAAAAAAAAGGCTTTCACTGGAACCTCTTCTAGTTTGGATTTGTTTTAAATAATTATTGCTGAGTTTTAAACCTCAGGCTTTTAACGTAAAAACTAACAACTAACTGCCTCTGCTGTCGGAATGGAAACGAACATGCTCCCTCTCAAGAGTTTAACTCAAGAAAATCCACAAGTTTATGGCATTTTATTTTTTTTTCAACAAATTCTCAAAATGTACTAAAAAAAAAGCTTAAAACAGAAATACAGAGTTTTCCTATGCCTCGTGAAAAAAAACAACAAACCAAACCCAACATAATAAACCTATTTTATATTGCATGCATCTATTCTGTAACATTTTGTTTCCAACCTCAATTATTTCTTTAAACACATAAAAAAGAAAGTTGACTGACAATTTCACGTTTTTTCCACGTTATTTTTCATGACCTTGAAAAATGGGACTCATTCTATTCTGATACAATGTTCCAGTTTATTTTTCAAATAGATGTACCAGCCATGAATTAGAAGATGAAACTGTCTATAGTATTACCTGAGTTCACTGATTCACAGACAACTTAGCCTGGACTAAATGATGTTTTCCCAATATTCTTCCATAAGTTTTAAAAAAAGAATGATTCTTTTAGGTAATTTTTGTAAATAATTAAGAAAACAATAATATATTATTCTATTGTTAATAGTTTCAATGCTTGAAGCTGTAACTGTAAAATTCGTCTTTTTCTGAAAACTTGTTCTGAGAATTCAAGGTCCAGAAACATTTTTAGTGTTCAAATGTTAAGGTGTCATCGAAAAACATTGCCTATACTTTGCCATTCATTTGAAGATTCTTGAACTACTTCTTCTAAATTCAGAGCACGACTAATATCTTCTCCTTCATGTTCTTGGTGACTAGCAGGCTCTTGTACAGGACCTACCAAAGTACAAGAGAAAAGGACAAGTGAGTATGATTTGACGTGCACTGTAAGAAAAATGCAAATACAGGACTTGGGAATACAGGAGTCATGTCAGGACAGGTATCACACAAATGCTTCAGATACTCTAAATTCATCACACGCTCTGAAAAAATTGTACAAAAATACCCAATATAAGCAATTTTTTCCTTTAGGAGTTTTTGAAAAACTTTGTCTTTTTTGTGCTCCAGGGCTCCACATAAAAAACAAGGAACCATAAGCAGGAGCCAATACCTCTGTTTGGACCTGCATTTTTGGGTTGCGCGTGCGACTCCTAGCTCATCAACTCTGTTCTTGGGCTATTAGTGCCTAATTCCTTGGTAACTTTAGGGAAGTGTTTCGTGCTTTCCTAGTAAAGCATATGGCTTTCTGCACTCACCATTACTATCTCTACACTACATACCAGTGTAACCGTGAGCCCGCTTCATATGCAGTTTCATATTGCTTTTCTGTGTAAATCCCATTGCACAGTAATCACATTTATAAGGCCTCTCTCCTGTGTGCTTTTTCATGTGGACTTGAAGCGCACTCTTCTGATTAAAAGCCTTTTCACACAGCGTACACTGAAATGGTCGTTCCCCTTAAAAGAGAAAAATATATTTAATAGTTTTTTATTTCAATAAAAATACAGTTGAAAAAATTCAGTAAAAATCATCAACATAACTCTGGAATTGGTAAAAATCATCAAGATAACCTAGGAATTAAGTACACATGACCTTTTGCCTTGAGACTTTCTCCAAACAGTGCTACAGCTCCATATCATCAGCAAAACATTCCAAATTAAATGTCAGAATATTTACATAAGTCCTAAACTACTGATATTATCTGTCCTATCCTATTTATCATTACCTAAGTAAACTGATTAACAGAAGTGCAAAAACTCAAGTTTACCAGCTTGACGATTTTGTACTCAAGGGAACCATCACTTTGTACATCATTTAAAATAATGTAGATATAGCAATATTCTAGAAGTAACAAAGATTATGTCTATAAGAAACTAGAAAGTCAAATGTGTTAAAACCAAAAAAAAGTCCTGGTAATTCTACAGGGGACCTGTGGTCTCCTATGCCAGTAGCTACTAGTGGTTCCCATATCTTACCAAGGCAGGTATATTTTTTGAAATCTGCCAGAAAACCACTAATTTCTGAATATAAACTCAAGAAGATATTAATTACAAAAATATTTTAAATTTTTAAAAGACCTACACTTTGCAAAATCAGACCTTTGCTTCCTCACTCAACACCACTATCTCTGACATCGACACAAGACACACTGCTGTATGTCATTAACGACTTCTAGAAGGCACTTTCTGAACTTGCAAATACACTTTGTTATTAGTTAGCACAATAAAGCACAAGGAGTAAAAAACAATTTTCCTTAAATGACCAATTTCTCTCTTCCTTTATTACCTATATGTTAGTGTCCCCATATGCACTGCAGCTTCCATGCTAAATCCAGCTTCTTAGACAATCAAGAAAAGGTCCTCTAAAGCACAGAAGTGTTCTTTCTATTATTGTTAAAATTTATTTCACTAATTTGACATGAAATCTAGATTTCCTCAGCTGCTTTTGACTCCAGGTTTTCTATTCTGTTAAGATGAACAGCCTTTTCAGTGCTGTGTAACAGATTGCCCCAAGGCTTTTTGGTAGAACTGGAAGCATCTGCTTCCCTTTAACTTGGGCAACGTTTTTCCAAACTGATCTTCACTGATTAATCTGAATGTACAAGAAAAATCAAAGCAAATCGGTAATACTTACAGAAGCATTTCCTATCCTAGTTTATGTAAGAGAACCTATCTAAAACCTGTTCAGCACATTTTCACTCTGGCTCTTCAGGAATTTTTAAAAGAACATTCTCTTCTCAAGGAATGAATAATACCACGTGGATTCACTTGCTATTTCAATGTCAGACAACAGTAATATAACAATCAATTTAGCAAGAACTGTTACAGTTTATGGGCATTCTTAGCACGTGAGTGCCAAGTACAAGAAACCTGAAAATATCTGTGGATTTACTGAGCAAATTACATGTCATTCCTAAAGAGATTCTATTTTTCCCATGTTACACAATTATGATAAACTGATGCATAAAGGGACTCTGCTCTGTTCACAGCCTTCTGAGGTACTCTGTTGCTGTTACAACAGGCAGCACGAATCAAAGCAGGGAAAAGGGAAACTGGCTTTCTTTCCTGCTTCGAGATTATTTTCTGAAACTCTTAACTAGAACACTGCTTTTTTTAAAAGTCTGTATTATTTAAATCAGTTACACAGAATGAAAATCACTAGAGAATTCTAAAGACTTTTAAATCTCCTTGGATTGTAACTCTGCCTCTCTTTTCCTGTCCCCAGTATAACCAGAATGTTCCTTTTTACCACAGTAATCACAAAGCACCTCTGTTCCCCTTCTTCAGTTTTACTCTCAGGAAGAGTAGTCACCATTTCTCTTGGGGCAGGGGATGGAGAGAAGAAACTGTCAACCCATTAGATGAGAATACATAGCGTCATCAGAGACCCTGAACACATAGAACCAGCTCTAGTAGATCAGATCCAAGTTTCCTCCCATAATCAGATGGAAAACCACCTTCAACCAGTTGGTACAAACATCCCTTAATTAGACATGCTCATACACACCCACAGTATGGTACTCGTAGCTAGCACCAACTGCTCAGCAGTGAATACTGCCAACTGACAAATAGCTGCAATTACTCATTTTACCTTTATCAGGAGCTATTGCTTATCTATCAGAAGCTAAGTTTTGCTGAAAATCAAAATTTCCCAGTAATAACACACCCAGACCACTAATATTGAAGTCGGTCCTACCACACTTACACTGGAAACTTCCCTTCCTGCTAAAATACTCTCTAGTCACCATAACATGATTACCCACGGTACAGTACTTCACAACTGGATAGAAAAGGATCTTCACAACTGGATAGATAAGGACCTCATCTCTCACCAGCTCAATGATTAACTCGCTCTTCATCTGCTTTTTAATGCCCACTATCTCTACTACCTATCCATGCCTTCCCTGGGCAACATCTCTAAACCTTAGCAAAAGGACTCAAACTACAAATTCACCAAGTTCATGAATCCTTTCTATCCAACGTCTCATCCTTTCCTGCTAGACAGTTCTCAGCCACAGAATGAAACATGAAAAAAAATCAGGGCCAGGCCCTGGGACTTTCTTGGCTTTCATCTGCCTAGCAAACCGTACCACATCAATGCTCAAACCCTCATGTGTAAACGAGGTGTAAGAGCTCTTATAATTACTGTTCCTACTTCACCTTTGACAGTATGTGAACCACGTGCTGAATCAAGCAACTGAAACAAACCAAACTCATTCTATCGTTTTAACTCTAGTAGCCATGGCAGCTATTGTTAGCAGCAGTATGTAAAAGAGAGAATTTTTTTTCAGAGAACTGACTGCTATATTTAGAACTCAAGACCTTAAGAGCATTGCTCATAGGACACAGAAGGTGAAAGGGAAGGCAGTTGGGCTATCAGATGTACAGCTTTCAACTGGCAGCAGGGCAGAAGCTGCAACCTGAAAAGCATTTTTCTCACAAAAGATATGTCCTCCCTATGAGAAGTCAGTGTAGTCTTTTTACAGTGCAATAGTTGAAGAAAGTAATTAAGGAGTAAAGAACACGACAAATTAAAAGCCCTGGCATTAGAAAGAGATGAACTAAGTAGTTCAATGACAATGAAGCACTGCACACCGGCGTCAGTATCAGCAGTCGACTGTCCCTTATTTAATGTCACTGAGCACATCCACTCTTTTGCACATGCTCCTAAATGCTTGAAGAAGATCAAATCCAGTGTCCGTACAGCATTTTAAACAACTCTTTAAAATATACTTTTATTAATCTTTCAAAGTTTGAAAAACTTGTAGATACAAACTCATGCATTCATATTACTGTTGCAGTACTGCCAAAATAAAGAAAAACTTAGCAAAGCATGATGTCCTAGCTTTAAACAAAACATCAGTTTCTGAGATTTCAAATCTGCTGTTCCTCATGTTAAGATGATATTTAAATGCAGTCACCCGAAATCATGAGCAAGGACTCTAACATGCATATTTTCATGAGAAAATCTTAAGAGATAAAAATAATTTCTTGTGTTACCTGTGTGAATGCGACTATGTCTCTCCAGCTGACTTGGCTTAGCAAAAGCTTTTTCACAAGTTCATGTTAATTTCTAAACTCTTTGGGTTAGAACTTGGGTTTTTTTAAGCTTAAGATGATATTTAAATGCAGTCACCTGAAATCATGAGCAAGGACTCTAACATGCATATTTTCATGAGAAAATCTTAAGAGATAAAAATAATTTCTTGTGTTACCTGTGTGAATGCGACTATGTCTCTCCAGCTGACTTGGCTTAGCAAAAGCTTTTTCACAAGTATCACATTTAAACACTCTAGGCTTCTGGGAACTCAGTGAAGGTCCAGCCTGATGGGTTTGCATGTGTTCCTAAGCCAGTATAGAAAAAAATACATTTCAGACCATTTAAAAAAACTTCAATACTTAACAGAGAACTATAGTCACACTTTCAGTAAAAAAGTGAAGGATCTTAGTTACCAGAAGACAAGCTGGAAGAAGAGGGAAGCCTGCAGGGTTTGTTTTTTTTTTCTTTTAAATGAGAGACTGTTTTTGAGTATCAACTCTTTGTAAGGCTGAAAACCTCTGCCAGTAACTGTGTGTATTGCTTTTTTTGCATATGTTAGTCCCTTCTAATTATGTGACTGAAGGGCCCTGCTATCACACTGTTCCTCACATATTAGCATGCTGCCCTCAGGCTTCCTTCTAGCAAGTCTGGCTTTAGCCCTTTTCCCCTTCAAATCTAGCTTAGAGCTCTTTCCAGGAGTCCTCCTAACTCCTGTGCAAAGATCCTTCTCCCCCGAGACAGACATACCCCGTCTGTCACTAGTAGACCTGGTCTTGTGTAGACTGACTTATGATCAAAACCCCCGCCAAAATTTGCTGGTGACACCAGCTTCAGAGCCAGGAACACCACTTGTGCTCCTGATCCCTTCACCAGTCGTCTCAAGGCCCTAAAGTTTCTTTTGATTGCCCTTGGACTTAGTGCAGCTTCGTCACTATCTACGTGAAAAAGCAATAATGGGTAATAATCCTAGGACTGTAGGAAGTTCTCATTGTATCTTTAACCTAAGCCAAATATATAATAGAAGTCAAGGATTAATTACGAACAAATGTTCCTGTTCATGGAAAATTTCTTCTAAACCAGAAGTTAACAGTTTCACAACTCCACATTTTATGGCAGCTTCCCAAAGGACCAATAGTCTGGTTGACACACATGATCATTCCAAAGGGGTGAACTTCACAAACAGGTTGTATTTCCTTAAAATACAATAATAAAATAAAAGGAAATCTAGTTAAAAGCTCTCCTAAGAGCTACTTAATATGAAGACATTGCCTCTGGCTCCAGAAATTTCCTTTGATAAATTCTGGGAAGATGGTAAAATTCCAGACAAGTTATAGTGTATGTTCGCTCTTTTCATAAAACATTTCTTCAAATCCCTACCTTTCAGTATCTCTCACTGGTCTGGATGTACCACTTGGCCAGTACAGTCCAGTATTTCTAACAGGAACATTCTATAATCTAATTAAAAACTTAAACACGTGTTTCATAATCTAGAGCAAACTACACAGATGACATCACTAGACAACAGCAATAATACAAGGATATTTTAAACCATATTTACTCTGTAGGTGTCACTTGTACTCACAAGTCAGAGCATCTAAAACCCCAAAGACAGAGTGCAAAACAGACAGCTTCCTACGATTCCAAAAGCTTATCTGGAAACCAGGATTAGCAGTGATCGCATACGTAAGCAAAAAAATTAAGTGAAATCTTTTCCTGGCACTACTATTCACAAGACAGGTATTCACATTTTCCATTCTGTAGTCAATACATGCACCAAAATCCTCTCCGTGCTCCAGGAGAGAGCTCTCTATCTGCGTATACGTTATCACCCAGACTCCCTCTCTCAGGTGCACACCTCTCGCTCTGTGAAAGGAAAGGAAAAGGTCCAACAGGCACCTTCCATTAACAACACAAAAAGTCCGATACAAAAGAAGGAGTGAACAGAACAATCAACAGTTATTACCAAATACCTTGAGATGTGTTGCCCGTTTAAAGGCTTTATTGCAGACGTGGCAAACATGTATTCTTTCCTTGCCGTGAACCTCTTTACTGTGGTGCATCAACATAGTGGCTGAAGAAAAGGTTTGACTACACTCGAAACACTGGTGAACGCGACCTTCTTTTTCTGCTTGACTGCTTTTAGTCACATTAGGAGAAACCTCTGTCACCTGTAACAAGTGACAGAAACGCTTTAGGCGTGTCCACAACAAGGGCTTATTTTTCAAAATCCACCTCAACACGGCCAATGTTTGGAGAGTACTTGTAAGCAATTTAGCGACAAAAAGGAAGTAAGTTTTATGTAAATACGAACTTGGAAAGATCAGAATAACTACAGCCAAGTTCAATTACTCATTATAAATAGAATGTATTCTGTATTCCTGAGCACCTCAGAAGATTCTCATATTTCTCATAAAATAAAATTGAAAGGCAAAAATCATCATAGAATGGCCTAGGTTGGAAGGGACCTTGGAGATCATTTAATCCAACCTCCCTGTCATGGGCAGGGACACCACCTCTCGACTAGACCAGGCAACACATGGGGACTGAGCGGGAATCAAACCCATTGTTGTCATTGTTGTCAGCACCGCGCTCAACCCACCGAGCTAAAAGGATCTCTGATTTTACAGAGGGGAAGATTATTTTCTATTTGTTTCACTTCTTCACTGGGGACTCTTATTTTCATGAGGAAGTAAAGCCATGAGCTACCAAGAAAAAGTTCCAAAAGTACTGAAACACAACGAAAAGTTGACAGAATTTGGATGGCAGTGTGCTGCATTTTTGTGTCATTTTAGTCAATGATTCACTTTCTTCAAATGAAGTAACACAAAATTCCTTCCACGTTACAGATACAAAAGAATCTTAAACACAGTAACCTACAGAAAGAAACAAATGAAGAAAGATAAAGGAAGTAGTATTCTAAATGAATTATTCAGGATGAACTAGACGTGAAAAGATACAGAACACACTAGAATATTATTCATACTAGAAAACAAAGACGCAATATAAAACATGAGGAAAGAAGTAACAAAAAAAAAATCCTGTGTGCACATGCACGTGCACACGTTTGTCTTTTTTTCCAAGTAGCTGGAACCTCTTGGGAAAAAGGTGAAATGTTAAAACATCAATTGATGCAGTCGCCGTGATTAATAAAACACATGATGACAGAGGAAATGACATAAAAACCGTGTACATTAGTGTCACACTTTGTATATTTAGTACAACAGAGCTACTCACAGTCACACTTTACAAGTGACATTTATAGTAAGCCTTATGAAATGGCACTCTGATTTATGAAACACACATACTGAAAGACAAAAATCTAGTTTAAAATTCACAAATCTAAGAAAATATGTTCAAGTTAAAATTTAAAACATTCATCCTCACATCTGAACACTAAAATTGTTACGAGCTCACACTCATAAGAACATGTACATGTGAAAAATTGTATGCATGAGATATTATTAGAAATACAGAACAGTTCAAGCCAAAGGGATGACTTGATGATGGTCTAGTTCAGCATTCCCTGAGCACAGCCAGGGCCATGCCCAGACATATTTTGAAAGTCACCAAGGATGGAGACTCTACAACCTCTCTGGATAGCCTCTTCCAGAGTTCAACCAACCTCACAGTGAAACACGGCTTCTTTGTGCTCAGATGGAATTATTTAAATTTGTGCCCATTGCCTGTTGTCCTTTCACTGAGAAAAGGCTGGCTCCACCTGCTTTACTCCCTCCCAAAAGGTATTTATGCACACTGAAAAGATTCCCCCTGACCCAGAGCCTGCTTTCTTTTAAGCAAAACAGGCTATGTAATTTCTAGAAAGAAACACATTATTAATTAGATTTCTTTTTTGTATATGAAAAAGTGTTTTTAACTCAAAACTCAGAACAGAATCTGGATGACTGTGAGGTCACCTCTTCCCAATATTCTTATTTGGGCATGACATCAGCCTTCCTGCTTCAATATTTAGAGTAGAAATTCCATTAATTTGATTAAATAATGTCCTTTACTCACAAAAAGATACAGAAATATATTTTATCTACCTGATACGTTATTTCATCAGAGTTTGCAGATGCTGAATGGGGTGTATGGCTCACCAGTATGACCTGCTGTGAGCCTGACCCACTTTGGCTAGAGAGACTGGTATCTGTGAGTATAGCAGGGAACTGCTGACCCTGTCAAAAAGGGGAGGAAAAAAAAAGGTAGAATAAGCATATTTAAACAGCTAACTATAGTAACGTAAATTATTTGTACAACTCAAGACTTTTTTTTTCTCTCTTGAAAAAGCCCATTCCAGAATCCTATCTGAACAAATGCTACTGTTTTCTCTCCTTTTTTCCTTCCATTTTAAGTCTAACAATATAAGAGTAACAGCTTTTGGAATTCTGTAAGAGCAGAGACTCAGTTCTGACTACTTTTACCCAGCCTTCCATCAGTTGCTGAATGTTTCAGCTTTCCCGTGTCTTTGTCTCTTCAGCTGCTATTTTCTTAACTTCTATATTCTACTTTCCTGCATAGTATTCCCACAATATTCTCCTTTTTTTTAAAGAAAAAACAAACCTCTTAATTAAACACATTTCCAAACCACGTGAAATCAAGCTACAAAATAACTACTTAAGATATACAATTACTTATATTACTACTAGTACTTCTGCCTTACTGTTAAAGACTTTTCAATTTCCCCAGCACTACCTGTCTATTCGTCACAATTCCTGCAACACACCTCGTGTTTGCAGTGTCCAAAACAACGTTTCATTTTTATTTACGCCTGCCTTAACATTTCATATACATATTATTAATAAACTGCAACACTCTAATAATTTGAACAACTACGTTTGGCAAAGCTGCTTTTTTACTCTGTGATGTCAGAAATCACAAATGTGTCGTAAGAACATTTCTTCCCTTCCCTAGAGCAAAACTGCAGAGGGAAGCATAATAATCATCCTCACAGACTGCTTCACCAGGTGTAATCACACCATATGCTACACAAACAGTCTCTCATTTATACACCTTCAAATTCAGGTCAAGAAGTAAGTAAATAATAATTTAAATCTAGTTAAACCAAGAGAGTTGAAGAAACAGCCCAAGTTTTCTGGTGTAGACTCTATATTGAAATATCAGTGACACAATAACCCAAATTTTCCACTTTCTAGTCTTAAAATGTTATTTATTGACTGTTATTTTTCTACCCACTCTCCATATTCTATTTGCCAACATGTCTTTGGCCCTTGATGACACCACAAAAATCTTCAGTCATGACAAAACCAAAACTAACGTTAATGCTATGGGGGAGATGATAGTCTATACAGCACTATTCTAACAAAATTCCCCAAAACACTACCTGCTATTAAAGACAGTAAACTTAATTTAGATTCTGTTTTGCTACTTACTGTGAAAGGAACGGTTGCAATTGGTCTTCAATTGCCATGTTCATGGGGAGGAGAAGAAAAATTTACCATACTAAAAAGTCTAGGTATACTAAGCTGTATTACTGAATAGTACATAGTTTAGTTTATCACTGAAAGCTTATCTCAGACGTTTGAAACAGTAGAACCTATCTGACCACTGCAAAAAACCCTGCAAAATTTATGTGTATTTCTGTTGAAACAGTTTATGCTTCTAGATGCTGGCAGGCACACACTGTTGGGACAACGGAGGAAAGTTAACTGAATTTTCAAATACTGTGTATTTACAGGATAAGATTATTTTCTAAGCAACGTCTACAATTTCTGCCCTGTACAACAGTTACGTTAGTCTATATGTCAGTTCAAAAAAGCATTTCTTACCTGTGAAGTGATATTAAGTGTAACCGCATCAAGACCACCTGATAACATTCCCTGAGTGTCAGCAAGAGTCAAGGTGACACTACCATCTCCTCCAACTCCTGATGAAGACATTACCAAATTCTGGGCAGAAACCGCAGACTGAGATATGGGTGTTGCTGAAGGAAGGTTTGCTCCACCTGTTGTATTAAGTTCTGGAACGTATACAAAATAATAATAATAAAAAAAAATCTGTTACATACATAAGTTCTTTAATGTAAACTTATTTTAACTGAACCTAATTTCTATTTCTTGTTCGAGTCAAAAATTGTCAGTCAGATGCTAAAATTAGAAAAGTTACATCTAAACGTAGCTTCATGGACTTCCTATTGCAAAGCAATAGCTATGTACATGGTGCATGGGAGACATACCATTGCCAAAAAGACACCTGGAGAAGTTTCAAGTTGCACATTTCTGTAGTCAGACCACAAATTCAGAATTCTCAATACACTTCAAGTCAGGGCAGTAAAACCAAAACTCGGTACGTCTGTAACCCAACACTCCCACTCTATTCTTGCAACGTGGCTGATAATCCACAGCAGCAAAAAAAGAACAGTTTACTATTAACAGGTATTCCATGACGATTTGATTATAACAGCTGTACAACAGCTTAAGTTTATTATAGATTCTCCAACACAGGACTAGAGGCCTCAGGGCTCTCAGTTCGTGATAAGCCTCAAAAACCTGAGAAGATGATACAGAAAGTACAACGCAACTGCCTGTTCATACTATTTAATTTACCAATTCATTACACAAGAGCGTACCTTAACCTTCAAATCTCACATGATACTCTGTGGTAGGTTTCCCCTACTATGACATTAAAGCATATTTGTTTTATAGATAGAACACTACAGGAAGCTATGAAAGTAGACAGTCAAAGCCAATGGAAGATAAAGAAAATAAACATCTAAGAGTAAAGAAAATTGTTTACGTCAGTGGTAAGTCTGTATCAGTGCAATTTGCCATAACCAATCAGTGCAACCAATGTAATTTACTGCACTGTCCGAAAGTGTGAACAACTATATATACACACATGTGTTTGGGTTTATATACAAACAGATACAGGTAGAAATTAATATACAGATTTAGAATCTCAGAAATTTAACACCAGGGCAAATCTGATGCAAAAGATATTTTATCATGCCCACAGCAAATGTATCCGCCAATTTACAGAAATAGTCCTTCAGTATTTCTGCAACTGCCTCAAAATACTAATTTCAGATAGGTCTCCTTGTTTTTATTTGCTTCTTACTATATAGAGTAAAGTTCCCTTAAATTGGCATAACAAGTTAAAGTTGGCGAGAAAAAAAACACAAAGCCACACAGTTCCTGAATTTGTAATGTTAGATTATGCCATTTCATACTTAGTTACCTGGTCTAATATTTCCTTTTTTAACAAAATGTAATTATTTTTAATTAGAAAATCACTTCATGCATACCTGGAGCATTTAGTGAAGGGCCCTGAGAAAGAAGCTGGTCATTGCTTATTGTTAATGTAGCACTTGTAGTCTGACTGTTGATGGTCGGTGCTGTCAGCCTTAAGCCACTGTTCAGATCACTGCTTCCAGAATTATGCTGAATAAGATCTTGACCTGAATAGAAATTAGTCCTATTTTAACTGGAAATGTCTCAATGTTATTCTGTTACTGTACTTAGAACTATAAACAAACAATCATAAATTAATAAAAGTTTTAAAAAAATTAATTTTTACACCATCTCTACATACAGATTTTCATGCAGAGGTTTGACAGGGTTTTAATACAGATGTAATTATGTGTATCTAGATATTAACATGTCGAGAAATACCTGAGATTATTAATATTTAGACTAATACTAGTCTTATCTAGATTCAAGGCATCAACTTCATTAAACTATAAAAATCTAGCAAACTAAAGGCTAACAGTTAAAATGCCGTTTTCTTCAATCTACTATATAGATAATGAAATGCACTAAACACACCTTCTTTTCTAAAAGCATCACAAAGCGTTAATTTTGTGGAACGGTCAACAAGCATAAAACATACAAAAACTGAAAGCAGACTCTATTGGTTGTTGGAGACCTACACTCCATTTATCTTAGATGAGTGAACATCCACTGACAAGCAGAAAAATATAGGTGGGGGATCGTGACACTTTAGTACAGACATTACTGTCACGACACTTAAAAACACCGAACACATTACAGAAAATGGAAAAAGATGAAAAGAAAAAAAGGAAAAGGAATTAAAAAGAAAGAAAGGAAAAGGAGAAAAGCCCTAGATATTATACTGAATCTATTAAAGAAAGACTATGATACAAAATACAGACTGTCTTTGGGGTAAATAGAAATATATTTATAAAGTATATGGAATCAGTCTCTTGGAGGTAGTAAGAAAGTCAGTCTAAATTTATTCAGTCCTGAAGCATTTACAACATATTATAAAGGCTGAATAGTACGTCTTGCCTCACAGAACAATCAGAATATCCACCAGAACATGGTTCCACAGGTATTTAAAGAAAACTTGATTAAATAAACTCGTTCCCAATGCCTGCCCTGCTTGCTCCTGTCCCAGCACTACCCAGGAGCTGCACTACCCCAAGTGAGGCACAGCAAAAAACCATAAGAATTGATTTTATGGGTTTTGCAACTGCAATAAACATCCGTTTAACTCGAGGCTATGAATAAAACAGTGAACGGATCCAACATATGTCCTCCTTAAAGCAGATGTATTTTGTTTTCAAAGGTAATTTGGGGAATATCTTTTAAAGCTGATGAATATAAAAAATATGCTACGGGGAAAGCTGTGGACTGTGAAAATATCCTCAAATTATACTGTATAGCTATCTTATCAAATGGTAATCTGGTACCGTTAAAGATCATTAAAAATACGAACCAGATATTGTCAGAGTAATTTCTTGAGGACTTCCTGATGAACTTGTAGTAGCAGATCCTGAAGCGTGAGCCAGAACTTGACTCAAACTGGAATTATTTATGGTCAACATTATCTCATGTTGTCCATTTGAAGATGATACCACACCCGGTGAAGTCATGACTTGAGAGATGTCCTGTGCACCTAAATATAAGTGGGTAGAATAACAACAAAAATAATCCATGAAGATCCTTTCTTTATAATAGACAAAACCTTTTAAAGCAATTAATACACTACTTCCTGAACCACTACAAAAGATGTAACCACTGTAAGATGCTAGAACTAGTATTCTAAAGAATAGATTGTTCTCATATTCAATTTATCCCTCTGCAGAGTAAGATCTTCAGAAAAAACATGTTATGTTATGTTTTTCTGAAGACTATAAATGGTCTTCAATATTTTCATTAGATAGCCCACCTTCTGAGAAAATATATGGAAAGATGGCAACATGAAGTTCTAAAACTTGCTGAAGATGCTCAAGCAAGAAGCGTACGCTTGATTTTATTAAATGAGGTAATCGTTGGGCGTGGGATTTTCGCACTGGGGCTAAAAGTAAGAAATTCATAGCACAATAAAACTACTGCCAGTGCTTACCGCTAGTGCTGGTTGTCAGCACGGATTCCTGCTCAGACAGGGATCCTATTGCCATGTTAGCAGAGGATGTTACTGTGGGCTGCAAAGAGAGGCCTGAGAGAGGCTGAATAACCACATTAGCTGGCACCGTGTTTTCTGTCGCCTGGAGAGAGGGGTTCTGGGGAGCCATACTGGGGTCTCCAGTTAGCTGCTGAGTGAGTAGATTACTCTGCTGTAACGTCTGCTGTAGAATACTTGGATCGATCTGAAAAGCAAGTTTGCAATCTGATCAATCCAAAGGTAACAAATACAGGCTAAGTGAATATTCTTAACATAAATTCAGATTCATTGCAAATAGAGTACATGTAATATTGAAATTTTGCAGTTAACCATTTTAAATTTGAAGTGATTTTTTAAGTGTCTGTATACAGGCAGTCTCCAGAGTGACTATGTAAACAGTCTAGTCAGCTTCGCCCGTGGTTTCTTCACTCCCTTCCCTCAGCAAAATGTCTGAGAAATAACAATCATAGTTACATAGGAGCATGCTGGGCACCAGGTACACACACTTTACTTAGTCTGTAGTTACTGCTGCGTGAAATGCTTATCATCATCTTCAGATCTTTGAAAATGAAGACATAGAGAAGAAAGATGACTGGTATCAGAAATTACCTATTTTTTCAGCTCCTGGGTCTCATTAAGGTACTAGCTCACAGTGAAAAAGTTGCTCTCTAAAATAGTTTAAAAATAGAGATTTTACTCTTTAGGAATGTTTGGGGATTAGGAAAACCAAAACTCAGATACAGTTCTCTTTGGTTTACACTAATCAATTTTTAAGTAGAAAGACTGAGCAACCCAGTCCAACTCAGAAGATGTCTCTTCCCTGACCTTGGGGCTGGACTTAAGGCCCTCCAGAAGCTTCCTCTGACCTCAGTGACTCTGTGAAACTGATCAAACACAGCCAAGTTCATGAAAATTTTCCTTTCGCATCATTTCAAATACAAATTTTTACATGTAATCTCACTTTTTTTCTGTCATTCATTTTATAAGCTCAGTGGGAATTTATATTATGAATCCAAATCTGAAAAGCTTGCCAAATAACACAAGTGTCTTACGTTAAGGAAAAGAATGCTCTGTGCAATAATTTGGGTTTGTTTGTTTGTAGGGGGAAGGAGGTTTGGTGGGGCGCCTGAAATGCTTTTGAAGTGAAAAGATAAAATACAACTAAAAAAAATAAGTACATATTTTAAAGCAATCTGCCTAAATTGTTTTAAAGGGGTAAAAAGAGTGACAAAAAGCCCTGAAAACCTGGAAAAGAAATAAACCAAACCAGAAAAAAACGCCCACTGCACAGCTATTCTTTGTCTTATGGTAAACTGATATATTATGGCATTGATTGCTGTGTGCCTCACTCAAGGGAATGTTTCCAGAATTACTTATGCTCCTTAAACTTCCTTCAGCCCTCAAAGTGACTCTAACAAAATTAAAAGCAAGAAACTACGAGCAACCTACCTGTAATGTTATGTTGTTAATACTGGTGGCATCTATTCCAGAAATTTGAACATTTTGTCCAACCAGATTAGCAGCAAGTTGTAACTGTATTCCTTCAAGAGTGGCCAAGCTACCATCTGTCAAGGACACAGTTAAGTCACCTCCAGCTACCAAAGAAAACAGTTATATTATAAATGTTTTTATTTATCATTACTAATTACCACTTTTAGGTTGTTTATTTTTATAAAATAAAGCAATACAAAAGCTATACACACACATTCATTTACATCAAGAAAAATAATTTGAAACAGATGATTGCTTATTTTAGAGCTTCATAAATTTTCAGTAATTTAAGAATTATTATTTAAGCACTAGCTAGTATCTTACAAGACAACAACCACCTGATAGTAGCTTTGGAAATGTGAAGAAATTTGGTATAAATTTCCTTGGAGCATGTGCTATGCCTAAACACAAGCAGCACTCACGTGATACGTACATTCAGACTCTGGACATACACGTGAAAGTTACTGCCACATTTTGTGCAGCACAAACATTGTTCCTAATTTCCAAAGTTAAATAGAGTCTACACAAGATCTTGAGAGGACATACAAAAAAGTCACTTTGTGTTTGACATATCTTCTTCTTCAATCACCTTCAGTATGATCAACCAGTTCCTTTGGCTGATGCTTTAAAAATCTCTATCTTTCCCCCTCCAAAACACTTTAGTATAGTAAGTCTGCTTTACAATGCACAGAAGAGATTCCTGCTACGGGCAAAACACACGTCACTAATCTCCATTTTCACTAATCTCCATTTAAGTATGTTCCTGCCTCTTTCTAGGACATATGAACACATTAAGAACTCCTCCTTACTGTGTTCACTTAAAAATCCAAGCAAACATGAGGCAGTTCTTAATCACAAATTTATAACTAACTGTGCCTGTCAAATAACATTTACCAGTATCTTCCAAACAACCAACAGTTTATTGGCTTTGGACAATAGTTTAGGTTAAATCAGGTAAGTTAAAATGGCTACAGTTAAATATGAGATTGCCTTAGTACTGTGATTTTGTAGTTAAAATCATAGACATGTACTGAAAAAGTGCCCAAAAAAGCACAAAAAAGATCAAACTGTCACTTTTAGAAGTGACAGACATCCATGACCCACAATTAAAGCAGTAAATTTAACAGTACCAGGGAACACTTCTGGACACCTAAACACTCAACTGCTTAAAACTGTCCCTGTCCCAACTCTGCCTGAGGCCAGCTAGCATTTACACAAACAATTCCTGAAAGCAATTTAGAACTTAGCAGAGATCATTCTCAAAAGGTCATTTTCTTGCAACATGAAGCCTGTTGGGTACTCTGTGCCAGTTGGTCTCCGAGAGAAAGAATGGTCTCTGGCACATCTAATGTCCTAATGCAACTGTTGTCAACTGCCAACCGGTAAGACTTCATATCCTGGGCATTTATTGATTTAACGTACGTGCCTACGCTAGTAGCCTTCTATATTACCGAAGTGTTTTCTTGTTTTGTTTTCTGGCTCATGTTTTTGGGGGTATGGGGGTTTTTACTTTCTATTTTCGAATATTAACTACACATGAACAGCAGAGCATGTGCACTTAAAACACACTCTTCATTATTCATGTAAATAACTAGTACTGATAAACTCTCTTTGCTCTAATGCTTGAATATAAAATAAATCCTACAGAACGCAAAACTTACTGAGCAAATGCATTGTTTCTCTCAGTTTTAAGTAAAGGCAACAGAGCATTACCAAAAAGAATACAAGTATTCCTTTCCACAATGTAACACCACAGCAGAACTGAACAGATCTTTTTAGATGAACTACATACACTTTTCCCTTCATTCTTAAGTAAATAAATTTCTATTTATGTTACCACCGCGCACTGAATCATGATTTCGGTACAATCCTTACCTGTTTGGAAGCAGTGTTTGGCATAATTTCCTGAACTCTAAGAGAAAGCAAAGTTCAGCACTTGATCTCAATACCACCACCAAAAAGTCATCCATTTTTACCTGACACTGAAGCAGGCAGGATTGCCTGGCCCACAAGACCTTGCTGAAGTAAATTTTGATCAAACTGACTCGTCAGAACGGAGTTATTCATGATGAAAACATTAGGGTCTGTTGAGGATGAATTAAGAAGACTGACTGGCTGTAGTCCCTCAGCTGAAGTACGGGTCACAGGCTTCCTGACTTTCTTTGTCTCTGGTTTATAATGACACTGTATGTGTGTTTTTCGGCGTCCTGAAGTACGAAACCGTAAATCACAGTGTGGACATTTAAAAGGCTTTGCTCCTGTATGCAGACGCATGTGGACTTTTAGACTCCCTTTTGTAGAAAAAGAATTACTGCATACGTGACAACTGAAGAGCTTCTGGCCTGGAAAAGTTTCAAAAACGAAGACAAGTGATCAAACCTTTAAAAATCAATATGACTGTACCAAAATTTTTTAAAAACACAGATTCTAAACTAGTTTAAACAGAATAAATTCAAAATCGCTAGCCATTTTCTTTCAAATTTTAGCTGCTTTTCAAACAAATTAAGGATCTCAATGAAGGGTATCTTAATTTTTTCCTATTTCTAAAACTCAATATGCTGTTAAAACTTTCATGTAGAATCTTATTTGGTCACCTTCATGCCTTTGTCCTCCTTCTCACCTCGCCTTCCTGACTAATCAACTTGTTTCAACCACAGAGCTCATAAAACCGAAGAGTTAGAAGTTTCATCTCGACCTCCTCAGCATTTGGCTTCTCCCTACTTAACCATTCATTTCCTTTCTAATTCCAGAAGCTTTATTTTTCTGTTTCAGCCTTTTCCTCAGTACTCACTAGTATTAATGGATTACAAGTAGGAAATGAATAAAATTTAAAAGTGAGATAGTGTTCTAAAACAAAATACCAATGACCTCAAAATAATCTAGAAGTACAGAAATCTGGTCTATACACATCCAGATCTCTTTCTCTGTTCTCTTTTCAGATCAATGCTTGGTCTCAAATGAAATTTTTAATGTACTGCAAATAACAGCAGTTAACTACAGCATTCATTTCATTAACCATATGAGCAACTGTACAACTCAAATAAAGTCTAATGTAAGTATCTGGCAGAAAGCACGCCACTGCAGCTGAAAACTCAACTGTAACTCCTGAAATTCCCAGGCCTTCCAGTGCAATATGCTTCCTAGCATAATACTGTGCTGGAAGAAACAGGGGGAAGAAATCGATGTGTTTTGTCTAGCTGCTTTAACAAAGAATGAAATCAAGACTTCTCTACAGCTGTGATCAAAAAAAATGTATCTTAACAAAGAGAAGAAGCAGTACTAGGTGTGACACTAAGTTATCCTTTTTACCTGGCAAACCATTAGATAAACCCTGAAACAAAGTTGACTCATCTTCCAGTTCAGAATGCACTACTGTATTCTGGTGATGTCACTTCAACTTGGTACAGAAGCCACAAAACCAAATGTGCCTACGATTCCTGCTATCGAGCTCTAGTTTCCATTTACACAGAAAAATCTCTCATACGATCCCTGAATTACAATTGAACCTACTTCAGATTAGATTACAAAGCCCCAACATTGTTGACACTTTGTCCAACAAAACTAAGTAAACTTCTGACAACATACTGTTTCAAATAACGGAAGAGTGAGCCCAAGAGTAACAAGAACCAGTAAGGTAAACAAGGATCTTGGCTGGGGTAAAGGTGTCTACCACATTCAGAGTGCCACAAAGAAAACCATCTAGCAGTCTTTTCCACTAAATAAAAAAAATTAATAAAAATACACAAACCTACAGGGGAGCAGAAAAAAAAACTAAAAAGCAAAGGCAGAGAGAGAAAGGAAATTAACAAAACAAAACAAGTAAGCAGCAAGGAACAAAATAGAACACTAAAATATTCAATCAGATTACGACCTGACTCCTGAGCTTTTTGTATAAATATAGGAAGATGAAAAGAAAAAAGAAAGATGGATGAACTAGAACGTAAAACCACCTGTGGACAGGAAGTTAGAGGCCACAGGGGAAACTAGCAGGAAAGATGATCACAAATTGGGATGAAAAGTCATACACGAATGGCAAATATCAAACTATCATTGCTTCCACATACAGTAAAATCAAGTGTGTTTGCACTATGATTATGTCATACCACTGGCTATCCAAGTAAAATGTGAACAAGACCTGTTACATACACAGGAAATCAGAACAGGAACGAAGGCAGAAACACAATAATGTGTGACTTGAGTTATCCCACTATACGCTGTGTCAGGATGCAGGAACTACATGTTCAGCCAAAGAACCCGACACCTCACAGAAAAACTTCCAGGCAGCCTGCTGGTCTGAAAGGCGGTGACACAACAGAAGTAAAACTCCAAACTAATTCTTTGCATCCCTCTTGATTACAGATAAAATCAGGTAGGTTCCTATCTGGGTATCCTTCTTTTACAGATCAGGAACAAAGTAGATTTTCAAACCAAGTTGTTGTTAAGGGAACCGTTCATTTAAAGTAAGTATGTCTCAACATAAAACCAGTGAACTATTAGCCACAGGTGTTTAAACACCTTCGGTTGTGTTCAATGTTACATGGATTAAACCAGAGCTCTGAAAAACAATCCAGGCTTGAATGCAGAAACTCCACATCAGTTAAACTTCATGTTCTTCTAACACAAGCTTTCCAAAAGAAAATTGAAAAAACCCCACAAGAACAAACAAGTTATAATAGGAAAAAGTTGATCTGGCTTTTGTAGTGAAAACCTCATCTCATCAACCTAGGAGAGCTCTTTGAAGGACACCAGATTTTCACTGACAAGACTGTTACCTAGATCTTAGGAGTTTTACACTGGTTTTATACGAAAGGACCTTAAAAAACTGCTGTCACAGAAGGAAAGAACAGAATTCTTCCATGAATTGAAGAAAAGTACTTATAAGACCAAACCCAAAAGACAGGATTATACAGTCAATTTTCACAAGGCTGGAAGTCAGCAAAGGACTTCTTTAAGTGGAGAAAAGCATGAACAACACATTGGAAAAACCTGTTAAGGACATTAAAACACTCATTTACAAAGCTCTGTTTTAAAGCACTAAGAAGTCCTTAAAGTCATAAAAACCTTGAAGACAGAAAAATTGGGAACAATTTCTCATTATTTCCCAAATAAAAGAACTTGAGGGCTTAGGAATAAAATCACACAGTGAAAACCAAATTTGCATCAAAGAACTCATTACTATTGGATGTACTGAATGCTATTCGTTCTTACCCAGTTTTACTGGGTTCTGAAAAGAATTGGATAAAACTAATATAAAATACGTCATTAAAGGTAGTAAGCGAAAAGATACAATCTCTAATTTAGCGTCCCACAACTTGCAAACTGCTTGAACCTGGAGGAACATCATCAAATCTCTGCTTTGCTCTTTCCATTATCCTTAGCATCTGCGACTACCTGAGACAAGAGAGAGATCTGGTCTAACACATAGGAATAGTATTTCTTGCTACACTACAGTCAAAAGTACAAATACACTGCATTGGAAAGGAAGCTTCCATGAGCAAAATAACTGTATGTTACAGCATTAAAAGCTTTCTATCTTCTTTTTTGCATTAAAAACACAACAACTTATGATGCATCTCCGCAAAACTTCAGCTGTTTTTAGACATGAGTTAGTTTAGGACTCGGTTTATTACAGAAGTTCAATGATAAAAAGAAAACAAGTATGAAAGATTTAAAGAAGGTTGTTGGTGGGTTTTTTTATATATGCAGAATTGGGAGTGAAAAATACTACTACTAAAATCACACCTCTCAGGAATAGAAAGAAACAACTGTAAAAGCCTAAATATTAGAGGAATTAGGCTTATACGTGTCGCCTGATCTAGTCGAGAGGTGGCGTCCCTTGCCCATGACAGGGAAGTTGGATTAAAATGATCTCTGACATCCCTTCCAGCCAAGGCCATTCTATGATTCTATGATTCAACTTGCATGATTCAAGTAACTGCTCAATTTTTTTGTACTTTTACGCTTGAATCTCCTTAGCAGCACAAACACTAGCATTTATAATTTTTTTTTCCTTCAACTTCATTTTATAAAATCCTCCAACCCCACCCTCTCGCTCAGGAAGATCATTTTGCATTGAAATGCTACAGCAGATGTGAAATTAAAGTATTATATATACATACGTAGTACTTCCACGAGCTAAGACTATGACTGTCTCCTAAGCCTACCAATAAAAAGGCTGCTATAATACGGTTTATTTAAGTTCTCATGATTCATTTGATGATGTCATAAGTACCAAATCTCACCTAGCGCTGCCATTTCCCAGACGATAATGAATGAAACACTGCATTCCTTGCAGAATCTTTAGGAAAAACAGCCCATCAAGGAAGTAACCAGTTACTAAACAAAGATATTCAAAATCTTACTGACCTGTGTGTGTTTTAACATGACAATCCAGAGTGGATTTTACAGTGAAACTCTTTCCACATTCTTCACACTTATACGGCTTCTCTCCAGTATGGATACGAACATGCCTAATAATCCCAGAATACGTGCATGTGTGAATTTCTACTTTTCTGTAGAAATCTTACTAATTTTAGAATTAATCAAATACTTTTTAATCAAATACTTATATTAGTATGACATCAAGCAGAACTAGTAAAGAAGATGATTTAAGTACTTGTCTTTTCTCAAGCTGATTTTTACATGTTTCTACATGTAATTCCTATAGCAAGAAAAATGTAATTTATTCTAAATCTTCCTAATAATCTTTTTAATACTGCAGGAAAACAAATATGAAAAGGTTGGTTTTGTCACATAGAGTACATAACATTTTGATACATTTTTAAACTGTTCTGAAAAATATATATGTATGCAAATATAATTCAAACTTGAGCTTAGGCGTAAAACAAGTTCTACAAAACTGCTAGAGCTACCAGTGAACAATTTAGAAAATTGAAAATACGCAAAACTTTTCCATTCCTTACCTGACTAAATCACTGGGTTTTTTAAAGCTTTTAGGGCAATAACTACAACAGTTGGCATATTTGGGCTCTGCCTCCAGTTCTGCTTGCTTATCTTTGATCTCACTAATTCTGTCTTTCTCTGCAGCAGACTGGACAAGAACTTTCTCTGAGACAGTGGCACTTTCTCGAGGCCTAATCTTTGCCAGTTCTGCTGTTTCTTCTTCTGTAAAAGTTATGACACCAGGACGTGATTTTCTGGAAGTTCTTTCAGAGTTTTCATCATCATCTTCACCACATGTAACTATTTAAAAAAAAAAAGAAATCAAAACCAACAAACCACACATCTCTCTAGTTCAGTCTGTCAGCTGAAATTAAAACAATAGAAGGTTTTATTATTAAACATGTGGCCACTACATTATGTGCTTGGATTGCAATCTTTCAGAGGTCTAACTACTCATGTCTGCACTTCTTTTAAATAAAGCTGGATTTATAATTCTTATTTTTACAATAAGTAAATACAGGTATAAGTAATTTAGGACAAAAAAATGTTCCTCTTGAATGACACACTAGAATAACTACGTAACATACAATACCTTGAATACAGTGAACAGAGTCCTGAAAAAAAGATTTCTTTAAACAGTTTAGATAACAAAGCAATTTCAGTGGCTCTGGACATTAGACATTATCCACATTGGAAGGCTATTTTATAACATAACTGTTTTAGCATTCACGTTCTCCACTGAAACATTTGTACTTGTCATGTAGTAAGGACTGTAATAGTAAAAATTAAATAATTTACCTCCCCCTCCTGCTTCTGTAGCTGCTGCTACAGCTGAGGAGACTGCCTGATGTTTTTTCATATGTTTTTTGCAGTGAACAGTTGTTCGAAAGCTTTCATCACAGAATGGGCACTTGTAAGGCTTCATGCTCATGTGAGTTGCCATGTGCCTGGTAAGGCTGCCATTAGTTGTGAAGGAGGTATTGCAAATGCTACAGCTGAATGCTTTAACTCCTTAAAGTAACAGAAACAAAGAAGTAGCTTGCCATTGGTTCACTTACACAGAACATTCACAAAACCCAAATGTGAGTTAAGCTAAGATAGAGCTGCTCTACCCCGTTACCTGTATGAGTCTTCTCATGTGACTTAAGAACGCCTGAGGAAACAAAGCCGCGGCCACAGAGTTGGCATTTATAAGGTTTCTCACCAGTGTGCGATCGTACATGTTGTTTCAAATGGCTGGATTTCTTAAAACCCTTGTTGCAATATTCGCATCTAGTAGAAGAAAATTTTTCTTCATTAGTCACATACAATCACCAGCCCTAAGAGATTCAGCAAATTCTGCAACAGAACCTGAAAGTGCAACAAACCTGTAAGAACGCCTACTTTGATCTTCATTATCCTCAAGAAAATGAGGCCGCTGGGTATGCAATTCAAGCTCTTCTTGTGATGGTTGATCTTGTATCAAGCGAGTCGTCTAAAAATCAAAGCCTCAAGTGAATTTCAATAACACAATACTGAAATCAAGTCACACAAGTAGGCAGGAAAAAAATTATAGTGCTTACATGCAATGCAAGTAGTCAAACGTGCCTTTCATAATTTTTTGTCAAGAAATTAAGAGCATGATATGATACCTTGGCTCTTTCATAGGGAAAAGGAAAGCTGCAAAATGTGCAACTACTGAATTGGGATAAACAGATAACGGGGTGCACTTACGCCTCCCTGTGAATCTAGGCAAAAACATGTCTCCAGTCTTGTAGATTTTTCATAGAATCATAGAATGTTTCTGGCATTTGAGGGGTTAAATTTAACACTAAAGCAGCCATTTTAAATAGTATGAGGCCCACACACTGAGTAGCAAAATGCACAGTGGTCCTGACAGACTTTACTATCGTTGGAACAGGTTTGTTCTCAAAAACCTCCACAGAATAATCCTCAAAAATGACAGCAGGTTTTAAGATCTGAAGAGAACAAAACTCCAAAGGCTATAAGGCTGAAATTACTCCAGCTCTTCCAGATCCTAAAACCCACCCTGGTTCTTCAACTGATATTTGCCATTTGCAAACACACATGAAGGGATAATAATTCATGCAGGTCACCATGGTAAACACATTACTACAGATGGTCTTCCTGTCAGGTACTGCTACCACCATAAAAAAAAAAATATTTAAAACGTATTTTTAGCAATTAAGCTCTTTTACAAATTTAACCAGATGAGAATCATGAATGAACATCATACAATGCAATATGCAAGCTCCATAAATGACCACTACACATCTGTAATGTTATTTTTATTGCTTGATCATAGCTATATCCATAGAAATTATAGAATATAGTGCAGTAATGTAAAACTACTTTATAACATTAGATCTTTTCCTTAGTTTTAGACTTACAATCCAACTTTACAGCATTATATGCTTTTTTAAACCTAGAGCATCGAAACACACACTTCTTTCAGAAACATGTAGACAGGTCACTTATCTTTCCCCCCGCCCTTTTATTCTCCAGCTGTTAAACATAAGCAATCTAAAAGAGAAATCATGGAACTTTTGACTTCTCAGTTTACCTAATCACCAGCGAAATAGTTCCAAGAAGCCCATCACTGAACACAGAACAACAACTGCCTTCTAGCAGTACTTACTGCATTGATAGTGTCTGTATTCGGAACCTGAAGAAGGGCTGGTGGATGGTAACTCGTTGAAAGAGCCTGAGATTCAAGCGTGCTTGAATCCTGCAGCTGCTGTACAGCTGGAAATTGAGTCTGTTGATTGTAGCTGTCATTCACTGTAAAACCTGCCAGAAATTAAACAGTCACTAACTTGGAAAATACACCAAACTGGACTTTGAGTAACACCACGTTTTTTCTGAAGACCACCTTCAAAAGAGATCAAGTAGCATTACCATATGGTAATACTTGTTTTATACTCTTCACTGTCGAGTGTCAAAATATACAAATGTTTCTGGCATCTACGTAATATGCATAACAGGGTTACTTACCATTAGCTGGAATTCTATTGGAAAATCTCCTCCACAGAAAAACACTGTTTGAAGTTTCTTCAGGGTGCCACAATTACCTTAGAGCCATTGAAATTTTGAATTTCTTGTATGTAAGCATGCATGTGTCAAACAGGTTGACCCATCTCCCTTTATCCACGTTGGTACCACGCTCCCTTAACTACACTGGAAGCCGATCACAAGGATGCAAAGCTCAGTGGGGAGGATGGCGGGTGAGTGGAGGAGATGACCCAATAGGAGAACTCCAGTTTCTGATAAAAGTAACCCCATTTTCTCCTACTTTGGATCTCCTCCACATACTCCCACTCTTTAGATAACAGTAAAGTAGAGCCTCTCAAAGGCAAACTGCAAAGTAAAAAAATAAACATATTTTTATTCACAATTCCAGTATAAAGATCTGAAATTTTTATTTGGTTTTGTTCTTCTGAAATACCAGATCTTAATCATCTCCTTTTCTAAATGGATGAATGAAACAACAGCAGCAATGACTCGGAGCCAGGGAAGCATAGCTCAGAGAGCAAGACTTTTTAATGCTATTAGAGATGCTCTTTTATCAATCACTCTAAGTCTTAATACTTCTAATATTAAAAAAATAATCAGTATTACGTGGAAAAAAAAATGAAGCCACGAGTATCAGTTATAAAGGTATAGGCAGTAATTTTACTATTTCTGTGCAGTTTGCCTTTAGTGGACAAAAAAGGTGAAGATTATGAAAACAGGGTAGAAACAAACCCACATCAGATGATCACAGCACCAAAGGCCAAAAAGTAATGCTTAAAGAATGTTTCGAATTACAATGTATCAAAACCTGGGGTGTGTTAAGTTTAAGCAGAAATTTTCCCAAATGACACTTTTCACAGCAGAAGAATAATGTTATCAATGTAGGAAATAAAACTACTACTTCTGTGCTCTTGCTTACACCACAGAAACAGAAAAAAAGCTAACAAATGTGAGTAAGTCTTGAAAGCATTATTGGTCAGATTGTAGTTATGACAAAACCTAATGCTGCAACTTGTGTATTACTTCCTCTCGCAGAACTACCAGGACTACATGGAAAAAAAAGATTCAACCAGCTGAACATTTGCAGCTCAATTACTCTTCCTGAAACGACAAAATAAAAAAGTAGCCCAACAAAAAGCAATGCATGGTGGGAGCTGGTACTTTACATTTTGAAATGTATTTTAAAAGCACCTTCAGGGAAAAAATGGTATTCCCACTATAATTGATGAGAACACAAAAAGGCTCAAGACACTGAAGCAAAAGTGATGCCACTTCCATGCCCTCCACAAAAACCCAGGACATAACTATTAAAGGTACAAAGAAACAGCTACCTAAAAACCCCAGAAACCTTGTTAACTAATTTTTACTAGTTGAGAAGGAAACAAGAAGTTACTATACCATGATCTCTTTCACTTCACAGTGTTTTAAAAAAAGCAAAACCTGACATCCTGAAAAATCTCCAAGGATCATGCAACAAAAGGCTCAGGAAGAAAAGTTCTGTATTCAGAGGTACTTTGGGAGAAACTGAAGAAAGAAATTACTACTTCTGAAAGTAGTTCTGGAATCAACAAAACCCAATGCTGTAACTACAACAGAGACGATGTGCCCCCACTTTGCTCACTACCTAGTATGAAGACCAATTTCCACTCAAAAAATTTAAAAAGATCAGACAACGTGGAGCATGCTAAAGGCATCTGCTACCACTACACTATTTCCATAGAAGGGCATTAAAATAAAAAGTTAAACACCAAAAAAACAGACGCTCAGTCTGAGAGAAACAAATTTCAGAACCTTTATTTTCTGCTCTTGTTTTCGTCATTACATAGCTTCCCAGAAGCTTTCACTTAGACCTCAGAGATCAGAGAGCATCTTAATCTCTATATAATGAAAAGAGTCTCTTACTAGAAAGTCCTCAAAACTTGGAGTTGGATTTTGTGTTATTTCAGAACAATTAATCATTTGCATTCCTTGGGGGTTTTTTGGCTTTAGGACACCACCCAATCTACTCTCTCCTACAAAAAAAAAATAAATTGATGTGTCTTGTCCATGAGAATGAGAAAATAACAGTATGATAGTTTATAGCAAATACAGTAGTTTAGATAAAACTTGAAGTCTTCACTGACAGATTGTTTCAATTCTACGATTACAAACATATCTACACGCACGCGTGCATCTCAGTGAGGGTTAGTGACCAGCAGTTCAGCATTCAGAAGGTTTGGTTCCTAGGCAACCTTTGGAACCAGCTGAACAGTACTGACTGGAACCAATGTACAAACAGTTATTGAAATAATCACAATTCCAAGTCCTGAGATTTCAGATCAGCTTCTAAGGGAAGCAGAAGAGAGGTCTGGTGGGAAGGGTATATTTGCACAGGCTACAGAACAACAGTGTTGGGAGTTCTCGTAGTTTTTTAAGACCACTCTTCTATCACCACTAATTCAATTATTAACACTCAACCATGCTTACAGGGAGACTTTAAAGGAAGAAAAGGTGATGTAATCTACATGAAAACACATTTGGTGATGGACAATACTCAAAAATCAAAGACATTTCCTGATAAAAGATCCATTTGGTTGCTCTGACCTCATTAAAAAGTCTTCAAATAAAGACATCTGAATATGTGAACTACAAAGAGCACTCAAGTCCTTTTCCTCAGTCTTCAAATATAGCTCAAATGAATAATAGATTATGATATTGCATCACCCTCATAAGATCTGCACTTCTTTACAAGTCTGAACACATCAAGAAGAAAATCTACCTGAACAAAGGAGACATTCTGCAGAAGTATTGCAAACAAACCTGAAATAATAAACAAAGTTCAACAGGTCTGTGCAGACCTAGAGGTCAGTCTCATCTGTCTGAAACGTAAAGATTTTCTTTTTTCCTTAAGAAAAGGAAAAAGAAAAATCAGAAAACCTACCAAAGATTTTTTAAAACTCCTACTTTGTTTTATTAATAAATGATAAGCCAAAATATTTTAACAAGAATGCAGCCTATAAATACCAAGGATAAAAAAAAAGACATAGTGTTTTAAGCTCGAATATCGTGCCTAGCTGATAGGACAAAGAAATTAGGAGCATGAAGCACAGATGCAGACATAGGGAGAGGGTCGACCAATTTAACGCATGCATCCGCGCAAATGCTTACCTACCTGAAATTCAAAAATTTTGAAGGGCTCCAGGATCTTCAAGGAAACTTCAAAGAGTTGGGAATCTGTGGATGAGATTCCAAGTAGAATAGGAGACAGCTTATACAAATAAGACTTAAGAAACACCACACCACAAATGATCTGATTCTCTGTACCAATTTTATAATGTACCGATGATCAGCCTAGATTTCTGATGATGAAAGAATTGTTTTGTGAGGTCTAGTAGATACTCCCTCCTCCCCAAGAAATCACTCAGTATTCAGTGTTTATTTAATGAAGAAGATACATATATATAGAAACTGAAGTCTAAATAAGATAACAGAACAAGGCATATGTATTGGATTTTCAAATTCAAAGGAGTCATAGAAATCCAAACAAAACCCATCACCACTCTTGAAAGTAAGAGTGAAAGCTTGCACTTTTTTGCTGTAGTCGCTTTTAATGCATTTGGAAAACCATAAAAGGTAACCAATGAAAATAAAACCCAGGGTTTTAACAGGCCCTGGTTCAGTCTTGTTTAATAAAGGTGGAGACTTCACTTTTTTCTGTCAGTTACATATAAAGCAGCACAACCTAGAGAATTAAAATCAGCAACAAATCATCCTACTTTTTCACAGCATCATGCACAGTCAATTACGCTTTTACAAAAGGCACTATACAACTAAACAGAGAATGAAATTAAGAACTGAGAAGTTTAAGCAGATGAAATACCAATTACTGGTTACCAGTTAAAAAACTATGAACTTATTTGCTGGAATCAGACACAAGGAAGAAGAGAAGATCTGGTCCGCCAGTGAGATATGCTTGCCAGCCGAAACAAACGAAAATCCCTTGAACTCCCTTGAAATCCTCTTCCCTGTCCTCATCCCAAAACAATACTAGAAGCTTCATATCAAGCAACAACTTAAAAAAATCAGCAGTGAAAAGCAAAGGAACCCAGACACTTCTTCATCCTCTGCAGGCTACAGGAACCTTACACAGTCAGTATTTTGTATGGGGGAAAAAGTAAGTTTCCAAACGTTAATCATCTCTTAATTTGTTACATACGTAGCACTGTAAAACACAAATGGAAACTACTGTGCCTAGGTGAAAGCATGCTTTTTATGACATTGCATTTTGCACTGTCTTTTCCACAATGAGTCCCCACACCTACTCGGTGAAGTCTTATACTGTATTTCTGATCATCTTAGGTTACGAGCATGTGTATTTAGTGGGGAAAGTTGTGCAAACTGCCTACTGCCACAGCAATTTCAAGAAGACTATGAAATGCCTGCTGATAAACCCCATACTGTAATGACGAAACATAAACTCATAAAAGAAGAATCTATTTCTGTTTAGGTATTCAAAACATACTACCAAATACAGCATCTGAAGAGCAACTTAGGAAAAAATTTTTGCAAGTTCTCTGCCTTGCAGTTACTTTGGCTGTGGATGCTCATTTCTGAAATGCTTTAAGACAGCTATATTGCAAAGTCAAATTTACAAAAATAACTTTTAAAACCTTTATTTATTACTAACCTTGTGATAAGCCCTGTTGATCAAATGGCTGCTGTGTTATTGTTTGTTGCTCAAACTGAGTGATGTTTTCTTGCAAAGCATGCTGGGATGTGACAAATCTATCTGAAATGGGGAAAGGAAGAGGATGGGAAAAAGAAAGAAAAAAGGGAAAAATATCAAGAAAAGAAGATACAATTAACTGCATAATTCAGATGTTCCCAAAACTCTGTATTTTATAGTAATCTGAATTTCTACTGCAGTAAAAACAAAGAATTATTGTCTCAATATGTATTTAAATCCTCACTTATTGTAGGCTTTATTTATATTCCTCTCTAGTACTTGTATTTTTCTACCAGTTTACTTACATTTTCTTGAAACCCAAACACTTAGTTTGTGAAGAAAGTGTTATTTGAGAATTTGTGTCCTAAGTTTCACCTAAGATAGAACCAATTCTGTTCAGCAATTTTACTTTTCAGCTCAGTCTCTTCTAAGACACTGCATTTTCTGAAGTTAATAGCATGTTTTTGCAAACAGGGCTACTAGAAGTGATAAAGCCTGTTGTTTACAGTTACTGCCAGGGATTGGTGTGCAGAAAGGCTCTTGCTTATGCTTATTCCTATAGTGCCCAAGGTTACTGGTAGATCTTGCGTTAAGACACTACAGGTGCTGGGAAGCAAAGGGTGGCAAGGAACTAAAAGGTCGCACCGCTGGCAAGGAACGGACAGGACAGCTAACTCAAACCTGACCAACAACAGTATTCCGTTCCGTGTATGTCATATTCAGTATACAGCTAAGGGATCACATGGGTTAAGCCCTCTTCTTCGATGGCCGATGTCCAAGAAGGACTCTCTACATTATTCTGCTTTTGAGCCAATCCCTGAGTTCCCAAATCCAGCTCCTGTGTCCAGTTCCCCTCTGCTTACTATAAATCGTATTTCAAGTACTCACCCTCATCTTGCTCTAAAGGCTGATCAGCCAATTGTTGTTCTAGTGCTGCCTCTTCTGTGCCCACTACTGGCTGCTGGTCTAATTCTAAAATAGCCTGCTGATCCGCTGCAACAGCTTCTGACTGCTGTAGCTCATCACTTTCAATCTCCACTTGCATCTGTGTGGAAACATGAATGCTTTGCTGATCTACTGCAGAATCATCTATTGAAGCAGACTGCTGATGCTGTTGAAGTTGCTGTGCAAGCTCGTATCTGCAGAGAAAGATAAGAAGGTCTTTTTTGGCTTCAATTAGACAGTTATCCTAGCTATTTCTGTGAACGAGTTTTTATTTTTATTATACACCTTAATTTGCTATACAATTCAGAGATACCTAAGTGCTTGCTGCTTATAAACATCCTTATTATTAGCATTTGCTACAGACCAAAGCTGCCTTTCCAAGCACCTTTAAGGAAGAGCTACTGAAATACACTGAAGGATTCATATAAAAATTGTACACATACCTGTGAGTCTTCATGTGCTTTTTACAGTTCAGCGATGTTTTGAATGTTTTTTGACAATATGGACACATATACGGTCGAAGGTCATTATGGATCCCCATATGTCGCCTGAGGCTACCACCAGTAGTGAAGGCCCCATTGCATATAAGACACTTAAAAGCTTTCAGTCCAGTGTGTGTTCTAATATGTGCTTTCAGAACTCCAGCTGACACAAAACCTCTTCCACACTGAGAGCACTTAAATGGCTTTTCACCAGTATGTGACCTTTTTAAGAGAAAGCAAAAGTGAAAGTAGATTTAACAGTCTGATTTACAAAGAGCAAGATAAATCAAGCTAAGGCTTCAATTAAGAAAATCCAAAAATCAAAGCTTTAATAAATTATAAACAAA